CAATTCCTACATTCCTTGAGTTATTTATATCTATATATTTATACACACCACATTCTTCGAGCCTCAGTCCTCTGATTACCGGAATCTAGCCCCTTCCCTGGGTTTCATTTACTTTCTTTGACAATTTTTGTTTTCTAAATCTGTGATATGTGGAGGATTCGTTCACCTTGCGCAGCCACTTTTTCTTGAGGGAAAAAATAAAATGGCAACGCAACTTTGTCTGCACAAAAGAGTAGACGTTTCACTGACACTTGTCAAAAGGGCGGGGCTAATGGGCCAAAGGATGCTTAAAGAGGAGATATACAACTTCAGATTCAGTGTATTTGCTTTTTGCAGTAAAACTACATAGGAATACATGTGTGGAAGTTTCCCAGAGCCCACCAGAAAAGTACATCATAAAACAAGCTAAAGAAGTACAAAAAACGATCCACACCAATCAACAAAAAAAGTGTTAATAACAAGTGTGAGATCATTAAAGTGCTTTGTTCAAACCGATAACAGCTTGTGGATAGAAGCTGTTATCTTGTTTATTCTATAACGTAATGTTAGTTCAATCCAGACATTTCATATGAAATTTAATAAAGAGCCACTAGGGTAGAAGAAAATCATATCATAGGGAACAGATTGTGTCCCGTTTAACAAAATTATTTTCTTTTTCTATGTTTTGGATGACATCTCTTTTCAGGATTACTCCATCTGAGCAGTAAAGAGCTAAAACATAATCATCATGAGGCCAAATAGGTGACTGACCATGTCCCAGGAAAGAAAGATGAATAAAGCAATCACCGTAAGATGGTAAAATATATTATAAATGGTGCATTGTTTCTGCCAGAACCATAAGAAACGCGAAAGAAATGTTTTGAGCAAATGTAATATATTCCTGCAACTCAACGGGCTTAAAAAAAGACAAAGCAACAAAACAAATCACAACAAAACATTTAACACAAAGAGTCTATAAACGACAAGGGCTTGCAAGCAAATGGATTTTAAAGTCAATCTGTGCTTGAATCCGGAGCCAGAAACAACTCAGACGGCACCATGCAGTCTTTATCACAGGAGAAAACAAGTTATCTTCTGCATACTTCACCTGTAAGATCGAGCCCTGTGAGTCACTATTTGACACTTTGACGCGGAGAGCTCTCTATTCCACTTTTCTCTCTGGAATACCTGCTCAAAAGGTGTGACAGGGGATAGCAAAAATAAAATGCCATGCACAACTAGAGATAGAAGCGAACGGTTTTGAGAGCTGGGAACTTAACAGAAGCATTTTAGCTTGCTTGTTTTTTTAAATTGAGGTTCCTGGCTTTATTATATTGTAGCGATATTGTAAGGATTCGTCCTATAGTGTATCATGTTTGACATTCAGAAAAAAGGGGCGGGGGAGTGTTTGTACAGATTATGTGCCTGAGGTTCCTTATGCAAAGGTCCTGGAACTAAGGAAGAATGCTGTATCAAGAAAAACAGATAAGAGATGATTGTGTTGTCAATATATGTGTCCTTTAATTTTTATCCCTGTTTTATACCAGTGCAATATCCCTATCTTATACCTGAATGTGCAATATACAGCTGATAATTTACAGTTGCTAACATACTGCTGCTAATGTACAGATGCTAACATATAACCACACTTTACTTGCACTAGAAAACACAGTACTTTGTAAATAATGTTAAATTATTTACATGTATTATTATTTTCAAGATAGAGTTTTAATACTTATTATAGATTCTAGATTTAGAGATTTTGTTTTATTTTAATTAGGACAGCTACTGTTCAGGTTGTTGTGATGCAACACTGAAATTTCCCCACTCCGGGACAAATAAAGGATCTCTTAATCTTAATCTCTTAATCTTTAAGGGGTAAAAATGCATTTTTTATCCACTCTTCACCTGCTTAAACTGGGACCAGGGAAGCGGCATTTCAAGTTTATGCAGGTAAAATATAGAGCCTAAAAATGCCTGGAAACGAGCTTCCTGAAAATGCGAGACAGGCTTCTCCAACAATGCAAAAATCCGGGTTAAATACTGACGGATCGTATCTTCACTCTCTTAAACGTACTGTGATTATTTATGATCATTTTAATGTATCTTTTCTTGTTTTGTTAAGCACTACGAGATGCCATGCGACTCAACTGCGCTATAAAAATAAGCTTGCCTTGACTATAGCCCTTAACCACCCACCGCCACGTGCCTTCACCGGCTCTCGCACCGTCTCTCATTCTGTTTCTATTCTGAGCGCTCTGACCCTGACTCTTTCGCAAACCTCATCTTGGCCATTTTTAGTTTTTCTTTCATTACGATGCCCACAGCCTCTTTTGTCCTCTCGCTCGCTTTGCTGTCACACACACTTCCTCTCGGCACGTTCTTTGATGTGGGCTCATACCTGCTGTCACGGACCACCTGTTCGGCTCTCCGCGGAACAGGCCAGATTAGACTAAGAGAGCGAGATAAGACGACAGCTCACGATGACTACGGAGATGATTTTAAAGGTTATATCGGAAATAAAATATGGTGCAAAGGGTTGTTGAAGCTTTGAGATCTGTAGGAGTTTGTGTTTTCTGTAAATAGTCTGTATCAGTATCAAACGCCCGAGCAATAGGCATGGGAGTTTGATACTGAGGCTATTGAGGTTATATATCTTTACAAAACAAGAAGAAAAAAAGCATGTAATGTAATGTATATATTTAGTAGCTTCATTGATCCTTCCACAAGTTTTAGATTTGCTTCTACTATGAGGACTGTACAAAGAGAGCAAGAGAGATACTAATCAAAAGGATAGAATGTATAGAATTTACAAACGACTGCCCATCTCTAAAGTGAATTATGTATATGTGACCTGAGCCTAGAATCAATAAATGGATTGGAAGAAAATAAAGACATTTTCTTTCATACTCTGCTCATGATTTTAAGTTTATCAGTAGCTCAGTTGGTAGAGCATTGGCCTTTGAGCCAGAGGGTCGTGGGTTCGAGCCCGACTTTCACTGTCTGCTGTTGTGTCCTTAACCTCTGGGAACACCAGCCACAGTGGGGCGGCTGTGGCTTGTGTCCTTAGGCAAGACACTTCACCCCCATTGCCTAGAATGAGTCTGGTGTGTGTGAATGGTTGGTGGTGGTCGGAGAAGACGATGGCACATACTGGTTGCCTCGCTTCTGTCAGTGTGCCCCAGGGCAGCTGTGGCTACAGTAGTAATTTGTCACCGCTGTGTATGGAGTGAAAGAATAATGACATGTAAAGTGTCTTTGAGTGTCCAAAAAAGCGCTATATAAAAACCAATGCATTATTATTATTGCCCTCATATGGCTTGGAAATTGAACTGTCTTTAAAGGTGATTTCAAACTCATGAAAAGGCCTTTTAAACATGTATGCACGTTAAACTACATAAAATGTATATATTTTAAGTATATACTAAAATGTATATATTGTAAGCAGTTGGGGGGCGACAGTAGCTCAGCTGGTTCGACCCCACCGCAAGACTTTCTCCACCGACTCCCACTGATGTTTTCTGTCGTTGTGCCCTTGGGCAAGACTCTTAACCCCACTTTGCCTGAATCCACCACTGCTATATCAAGGCTATGCTCTCACAGACAGAGCAGGAGAATCAGTGAGGGTCTGGTGCTCTGTGGACAAAGGGAAAGATAATGGATAGATGGATATTTTAATAGCCATCCAACTTATTTATTTAGAAAATATTCTTTATTTTTTATTGTGCAAAAAATATACCAATAGGGAGAAAGCTTGACTGTCAAGGAAGGAAGTGGGGGGGGGGGGGGGGGGGGGCTGTCTCAATTTGAATAAAATATAAACAAAACTACATTTTTGACAAAATACATTACTTCAGAAATCTTAAAAGTAATGTGTTTACAATTCAGGATAGTATTTCTGATTTCCAAATTTTGATTTGGATTTGTCCTTCTGTTCAACCACTCACACAGCCATTCATTCTTTCTCTACGCACAGTTTAATCATCGTCACATTCAGCATTCTCTCCTTTATGTTATGGAGTTCATTCTGGGAACACGGTCAGGTCAAGGTCAAGACTGGCTGTGTTTGTGGCCCTCACACTGGGCTCATGTCCCCGTTTAAGGAAGCACTTGGCTCTTGGAGGAATGTATAGTCACGGGTTCCATATCCGGAGGTGAGTCACTCTCACTGCTGTGTCAAGGATAAAAGGAGAGGACATTTGTCACAGTCTAAATGTGACTCATAAAAGCTTTCAATTATTTGGAGATTTTTACACCGAATGTTGAAATAGAAATAATAATGATATGTGGACCATATGTGCATGAATAAGGCAAGGCAAGTTTATTTGTATAGCACAGTTCATAGGCATCTCAAAGTGCTTACTAAAACAAGATCCAAACAATCACACAAGGCATTACGATCATAATTAATCAAAGTCTGTAAAAATAAAAGAGGAATCATTTCAGGACGACTGCTCTTTAGTTTCTCAAATCTAAAATGCAGACTCCCCATGTTTAGTTCTGACTCTGGGCACCAGCAGGAGGCCAGTCCCTGTGCTCCTCAGAGTTCGAGTTGGTTCATATGGGACTAACAAGTCGAAGATGTACCTATAGTGCGAGGTCATGGAGAGACTTATAACAAGCAGAGCTGTTTGAAAGTATTCTGTGAGCCACAGGAAATCAGTTTTCTCTATATGCTCCCTATAAATGGAATACCTTGCATATCAAAATCAAATGCGTCTTGATGTTCAGCTCATTTAAAAGTAACCTATAGACTCAGTTGGTCAAACTTTCCTTCTACCCGACCTTTCTGTGTATACTTGAAAAATACTGTATATGTATTTAACGCAATATTTCTCCTTGCTTTTGAAAGGTGCTTTACAAGAAAAATTGGATCAATGCTCTGGCCTTTTTTCTTTCACATTAACTGGTTGTGAGTGGAAGAGGCTCCACTTTTGTTTAACATTCAGCGGAGGCTTTCTTCTGGCCTGTTGTCTCTGATCTTTATGATGGTCATTTCACTTCAGTTCAGTCTGGGCGTTTTAATCTGCCCGTCTGCCATTGTTCCACTTTGCTCTGTGTGCGTGAGCTCTTTCACTCTCCGCTCGCCTCCTGCGCTCGCTTTGATCCCCGGCAATAGTCGAGTTGAAAGGTGCAGCGTCTTCTTTGACCAGCGGTAGTAGAGAGATTCTCAGGCGTTGCGATGCGTTCTTGGGGCTGGTGTGAACGCGTTTTCCCCGGTGACGGACCAGAGAGCTCCCCGTTTGATCCGGGAACAAAGCAGCGAAGAGGGCGCAGAGGCAGCGGGAGTCAGGAGGAGAGGAGGTGAGACGGGGGAGAGGATGGGGACCGTATTGTTCACTGCAGTGCTTCTCAGACTGAGGGCCACGCACAACTTTGCTACTTGTGGTGCTACGCAGATTCCTGTAAAAAAAGGGTTACACAAGAGGCCAGTGCAGAGACCTGATAACTGGACTAATGTGATCTTCACAAGCCATTTGGTGTGGACATGGCAGAGGCAAAGACAGCCATTTTTTACGTTACATTGTTTTCTTTACAGACAGCACATTTTCTTGTTGTACTTTATAGAAGTCTGACTATCTCTGTGTTTATAGCTCTGAAACAATATTAACCAATATGCAAATACAAAATATATAACTTATTTTTAAGAGCAGTGGAAATATAAGTGAGAAGAAACAGAATTGGCCAAGATATATGTTTGAGTTGTTCCCTGTTATGATTTTATTATTATTTATCTGTTATATACCACATATATATATTATATTAATACAAAAAGAAAACATTGCTTACCATCCATCCATCCATCCATCTTCTACCCTTTAATCCATTTCTGGGTCAGGGGGGTGGCAGTCAGAGATGCCACCCAAGTCTCATAGCATTGCTTACCCTGGTATAAAAGTGCAACCCAAAAAACTAGCATAATGTTAACACCGCCATGCTTCACAATGGGTATGGTGTTTTTAAGATGCACATTCAATCTCATTTCAAGGCTCGGCTAAAGTTTTCCAGTGACCATGGTCCTGTAGAGGCCTGGAAGAATATCCTATTGTCAGAGGAGACCAAAATGAAAAAAATAAAAATAAATCCCAAGAATACCCAATCATAGCATGGGGTTGGAAACATTATGTTGTGGGCTACTGTTCTGCAAAAGGGATACAACCACTGATTCGTGTTAGTGTTAAGGAAAGGAAGAATGGGGCCAACCGTCTTTCATTTGTGACATTATTGAAGATGAAACATGGCTGGGTCTTCCAGCATGACAACAATCATAAACACACAGCAACGGAGAAGTGGCTGCGTGAGAAGCATGTCAAGGTCTTGGAGTGGCCTAGCTAGGGTCTATCTACACAATATCAACATAGAAGAATGGGTCAAAATACTAGCAAAAATCCCAGTCAGAATAGGGTCTTTTTGAGTCGAGTTTGCATGTTCTCCCCCTGTCTGTGTAGGTTTCCTCCGGGTGCTCCAGTTTCCCCTACCACTAAGAACATACAAATTGGTCAAATCGTCCAGTTCCGATCCTGACCAAGCCGAATATCAACTTCTGGAGATGGGTCCCAGGACCCTGTACTACGGCGACCACTGCTCCTGACGGAAGTGCATATTTAAATTTACATTTACATTTTTTACTGGAAACATTTGACCTAAACTTGACCTAAACTGTAAAGTACTTAATAGAATGTCATTGATTGATTGATTTAGTGATCGACCTCTGTCATAGCCAACACAGGTCACATTACAAATATTGAGTTGGACTTTCTGCACCAACATATACGTAAATACATTGTTCATGAATCATACAATACAATTTCCTGGATGCGATACCGAAGTACACTACAGACCAAAAGTTTGGACACATTTTCTCATTCAAAGAGTTGTGTAAGGGCTAATTGACCAATAAGGAGAGTGATGGGTGCTGGGACAGATGACCTGGTCTCCACAGTCACCGGACCTGAACCCAATCCAGATGGTTTTGGGGTGAGCTGGACCACAGAGTGAAGGCGAACGGGCCAAAAAGTGCTAAGCATTTCTGGGAACTCCTTCAAGAGTGTTGGAAGACCATTTCAGGTCATACCTCTTGAAGCTCATCAAGAGAATGCCAAGAGTGTGGGAAGCAGTAATCAGAGCAAAAGGTGTCTACTTTATAAGACATATTTTCAGTTGTTTCATACTTTTTATTTTAGTACGTACATAATTCCACATGAGTTAATTCATAGTTTTTACAATTTTCATAATCATGAAAAAAACTTCGAATGAGAAGGTGTGTCCAAACTTTTGGTCTGTACTGTATATCGACATGATGAACCTTCCTAAACGGTCTCTTGTAGTTGTAATAGGATAACTTACGCAATCGGTACCTGCCAAATACATTTTCTTCAACCGTATTTATTTTATTTCAGATTCCTTAGCCGAACAGACAAAATACATGAAACAATGTATTTCATAGATGTAAATCGGATGGCAATAATAGTCAACAATAATGCATCCAGACCGGTTTTACACTCTCAGCCAAGGGTATTAATGATTGTGACATTATTATATTATTGTGTCATCGACGTGAGGCAGGAGAGAGAAGCAGAGAGACTGCGGCAGAGCAGGATCAGGCCTCAGGAGTCCAGGGCTTTATGAAGGGGGTTTGAAGATCATGAGCTGCTTTGTCTCACACAGGGGGAGGAGCAGGGCAGAGGGGGGGAGTCTTGGGGGCATAGCCGTTAATTGAAACAGCTTGATGTTAGTGTTTAGTAATCTATGCATCACCAGAGAATTAGAATTATTGTTTGAGGCTCCTTTGGCTCCTCAGAAACACAAAAATACCATCCAGGTAAAGGCTCGGTGCAGAAGTGATACATCGACAAATTAGCATTGGTCATTATTCAAGATGTCTGCTTTCTATGGCCAATGAGGTGTCTGTCTGGTGAAGCCGATCGCAATCACCACTCCGCAACAGGGATGGAACGATAACCGTGATAAACCTTGACATTCAAAAGCCACATTATCAATACCAAGAGATATCACCAAAGTCCCTCTATCTCACCGCTGTGTGCGGAATGAGCAGGAACAAGTGGTCTATAATATGTTTCCATCCAGACTGTGGCCACTGCCTTTTCATCTTTGTGTGGTCAGATCTATTGATTTTTCTATTTTTTCTGTACACTTGTTGTTATATTTTGGTATAACTCTTACTGATTACTATCTGAAGAGCAAGCAGTATAGACTATGACATTACAAACTATGGCATAGTCTATACTGCTATATTCTGCTCGTTGTCCCCTTTTAAATAAAATAAACTGAAACTGAAACAGTGAGAGAAACACATTTAAAAGAGCTTTGTTTGCAACATTTCTCAATGTAACAGCCATATTATTTATTACATTATAAATATTGAACTTAAAACTCAATAAATATCATAATAATACCTGGTTCATCAGTCTGCAATGGGCTCTTCTGCGTTTTAGCTACTACCCCACTTCACTTCCTGTTCGCGGGAAACGGCTTGAGTTTCACTGGAGTTCAGCAGTGCTTTACACGAGTTTCCCAAATAATGCTCAAACGGGAATTAAACTGTGAGGATACTGGGAATTTTTGGGACACAGTAGTGCTCTTTGATTGTGCTGTCATTGTGTTTTTATAAAGTTTAAAAATCGCTCCGAGTGGCCACAGTCAAAGCTCTACCTCAGAGAGAAAGCACAGCAACACTTTTGGGTCAGTCTCACAGCTGAAATGTATCGATCTACTTACCTCACACAAACCGTCCACTCACCACCCACCTAATAGCCATAGGATAGCATAAGGGCAGGAGTGAACGGGCTGTGCGTTGGTTTTTACAGGTACATGACGTCACCGGCCTCCCCGTGCATTCCAGCCCATATCACAGCCCTTCCTACTTTTGGTCCAGCTTTTGGGTTCCGCTCACGCACAACAAAACGTTCTATACAACAATAGTACTGAAAACATTAGGGACCTTGGTATAACTGTATAGACGGAAAAAAGGTGTGGTCCTGACCAAAATGAGTTTGACACCCTGGAGTACCATGAACGATTTCCCCCCTTAACAACAGGGTGGCCCTGTCTCCTGCCTGCTGAGGGTACCAGAGGGCGACAACGGCGTGGGGACCCCTGGGGATTACTGGGACCAAACCAATGAGACAGTGGCCCTCAGAAATGTAAATGTACTCACTCGCCTCTGTGGACTTTGAAACCAACTGCTTGGTCGTCTGGGGGGGCGGGGTAGGGATCTTCCCGCGAGCCGACAGTTTTCTACACTATAATAGAAGACATAAACGGTCTGCTCGGACATAACCTCCGACATCATTATCATATATTTGGACTTTTTCCTTTTTTTGGACTAGGAAGGGACAAACTTCGGTATGGATCTACACCTTTAACATTTGACAGCTTTAAATGTGATCTATTGTTGGAAAGTTGATATTTGTGTTGCCCTTGTTGTGTTGGTAGGTAATCCTGGAACGAAATGAGGAGTGGTTAAATCATAAATTGAATAATGTTTCATTGTGGAGTGTGTCGTGTATGTGCGTTTACGTCGAAATGGAGCTGCTGAAAACTGTGCAATACAAATTTCGGACCCTTGTGTTTGACAATAAATTACTTATCTAATTTATCTATCTATCTACCAGGTTAAACTTTTTGTGAATAAATCTGAGAACATTTATTTTTATTAGAAAAACAGTTTTTCTGTTACATACTGAAAACTCATCAGCTGTAGCTTGGTACTTTCTTTCTTTTTCAGTCCAATCTTTAGATGCAGTTTTTTTTTTTTTCCAGGAGGGCAAAAAAAAAAAAAAAACACTTGAATGGTGAAAAGTATATTACAGTTTTGAGAGCTGAAAACTAGTGTACATGGATTTTATCATCAACTTTTTTACTGCATTTGGCGACTGTTACTGCCACTACACCTGCTTACCTTCAACATGTCTGAAGCTGGAGCTGCATTAGTTCTTCGTACTTTTAAGTAGAAAAAACCCTTTAATTGTGCTGAGCGAGTGCGTAACCCAACCTCTGAACACACTGCAACACACACGACATTGGGCATGCCTGAGCGCGTCCACCATCAGTCATGCTGTATGCGCACTACGGTGAATTTGCTCACCTTTCCTTCAGCTCACAATCAGAGCAGAAAACAGCATGGGCTGCTGCCGTGGCATTTCACTGATGTCAGAGGAAAAACTGCAAGTGCACTCATTTTGGAGTCGGTGTAGTCACAGCCGGTGATCAGCAGGTACAGCGGAGTCTGAGGAGAGCACGGTCTGTGGACGTGGCTGCTGAAGCATCGAAAAGCAGAGGACGGAGGTCAGAGACGCGCAACCCAACGAAATCTACAGGATTAATACAGGAACGGCCAGGTGTGAGGCCAGGGCACGAGGTTATGACCCACAGAAAGGTCC